CAAACATCCAAGCTGTCCTGGTTTGAGGAAAACATCTCACCTCCTAGAGCAGAAAAACACTTCACATAAGCAAGTACAGGGTAAAAAAAAAATAAACATAACATTTCAATTATGTCTTTTTCTCTGTACAATGTGTTTTTGTTTTGTGTAGAGTTTTGTATGTGTTCTAATAACATTTCACAACATTTCAAATATGAGTAGCGTTTATTTTTCAAACCACTTTCAGATGTCATGACCTTATTCTCTCTGTTTAATGAAAGCCGTCCTTTGGTTGCAACAATGGAATGATTCAACTGCTTGTGATTTGACACAAGTAAAAATGATGCTGCTTAAAAGAGCAAAAAAAAAAAAATAATTTAACTAAAAGGTGGCAGAAAAGTGCAGCAGACATATGGAGCCGACTAGAGACAGAGCAGGAACGTTCTATTATGTCCCTCTGCGCTCAAACCCATCTGTACTGATGTGACCAACCCCTTACTCGGGCTGCCATCTAGTGGTTTACACCAGAACATAATCACTTTGAACGACACAAACTGACCACACATACAAAACTTTAATGCTGAGGAGAATTATGTTTTATCTTCCTGGAGAAAAACCAGCGGAGTGGCATTATTTCCACAGAGCATTGTAATCCTAACTTCTTACCCTAACGTTAACCTTTAACATGTATGCTTAATCCTAATCGTTACCACAGTACGTAAGAAACCCTTAATCTGACACTAACTCCAAATTAGTTCTTAAACCTGAAAATATTCTCTTTACTAAAATAAACTTCAATGTTAGCAAAACAACATAACATCACTGTCTTCTTAACTGGAGTTTCGGTGGTCCATTTCTCAGCAGGACAATCAATGTTGGCTTCAGGTGTGTGATTGTATTGTATCTGAAGAGATCTCCTTCATGTAGAAACATCTCATCTTTTCAGTGGTACAGCAGGTTAAACAACAATAGTGTTTACTTATTAAATCTGTAGAATTACTGCAGTACTTCCTACACTGCACTACTGTCAATTAAAAGACATACTGTACTTCAAATCCTCAAAAATTAGTTTAATACTCTGTAACATGTATTTATTGTTTTGATACTGAAGGTTGCAGACCCCTGCTCTATCCCCTTATCATTATCTTAACTACTTCAAATACCCATCAACCCAGTGGTGGTTTGTTGGTTGAGGTAGGGGATTTGGGTCCATAAGGTTTCAGGGTCAAATCCACCAGCTGCTTGAGCTGCCTCCTTGCTCACTTTAGTGATGTGTAAAGTGTAGAGGACACACGTGCTGTGTCACGATGACAATTGGTTCACGTTCACTTATTTGCAAAACCTTTACCCTCTACACTTTAAAATAAATACCCCACGAGTGTAGCTGTACCAAGATCTCCCATTCTCACCCACAGAACTCTTCTAAATGCTGAACGCAAACTCTATCAATAGTCTCCACTATGACTACACTCGTCATTACCAGTGCCAGACTTCAACCAAAGTAGGTAACAAATACAACTGACACGCACGCGCACCCACTGGCTTTTAATAAACAACATTTTAAACGGAGCCAGCGTCAGACGTCATTGTCTTCCCACTATTCAACAACTCCTCCCATTGTTTGGTTTGATTCTGCTCCCTCCCACTCAGCTTTTAATTCAATGTTTTATCTTTTGTTTATTGGTGATGTTTTTCTCTCTGTGGCTGCAGGAAGCAAAGTGTTGGCAGCAGCTCAGTTTGATCTGCAGTCATGGATGAAAAGCGCCTGCAGGGGTAAACAAGGGCATTTTGGAAATATAAACAACACTGCCATGCAATTAAAAAGAAAGTACATAAATACGAGTCCTCCTGACAGTGAGGAAACGTGCCAGTGACAGGATTGTCATGGAAAACAGTCCGTGTGGGGGCATTTGTGTGGAGCAGAGGGGGTCACCTCTACAACAGACGAGCCTCAGTTTTAACTTGACAAACAAAGAGTCCGGATATGTCCTTATAATTCAAGCTGCCTTTTCAGACATTGAGTTTTCACACAGCAGGCCGATGGAGACTTAGCATCAATAACACCACAAGACTTTTGATGTTGAAGCAAAGAATAAATTCAAAGCACAAATGGCCAGAAATTTGCCAAAAAACTTCAATGACGTGGTTAATTTACAAAGCAGTAAAAAGGCAAGAATGAATTGATTCTCATAACTTAAAACAAAACATTGAATGACACTTCTACACTTTGTGTCTTTGCCAAAACCAATGTCTTTTGTCTCGTCTGTCTTTGGACTGGTCACAAATCACAGTTGAAGTCACAAATGAAGTACAGTTGACAAATGGTTTTACTTACCTCAGTTAATACCAATGATGTCTTTTTTACATGAATCTATGTTGTTGTGTTTCAACTTAAATTTGACTTGGGGGGCATTTTTAGGTTGCCTCTAGTTGAACTTTTATTTTGTCTATTAGCTGTTACCACTGTTAGAATCATACAAGTCCAAAGTTAGGGACAGCAGCACAAGTGTAGTGGGAGTTGGACAACAACTGTTATAAATGATCACAACTCTGTAACCATTTAAAATGGCCAATAAAAGTAGTAAAAGTATTCTAAAATGCTTTTGGCTTTCAAACCTTCTGGAGCACAATAACATGATCTGAAGAGAAATTGATGGGTTGGATTTAAGTGACCCACTTGGTAAAGTCACAACACCCAAAATGTTTGAACCACTCAAACCAAACGGTTTTCGTGCACATATTTAGAGGCCAAATATCAACGCTGACTGAAGCGATGCATGTCAGAACTAGTTCGAATGTGCAAACCGTGCGGCTCAAACAGGCTACTGTTTAGCACGCTAACCGGCTGCCCCACTCGTCGGGTCAGCAGCGAGCAGACGGTTTAAAGCAAACCGGTCCTTCACATGACGCGTTAATCGCCAAAGTGAAGCGGACCAGAGATGGAAATACGTACCGTCGTAATAATAACACAATTTTAAAAAAAAAATTTTTTCTCTGTACCTTCACACATCGCCATTTTGCAACTATCACAGGGCCGTATTACCACTTCGTCCCGCTATCAAAGGGCACCGATGCGCCTCGTTATCCAATCACAAGCGGCATCTACAATGCACCAAGTGCAGGCTCATTAATTTGTTAATGGATAGATACACAATGCAGACTATTGTCAGTGAAGCTAAAGGAAAATCCCAGCAACTCTTATACTGAATTATGCTGCAAATATGGATCGCATTAAATGTGTGCAAATGCAAACACTACATGAAGCAGCAACTCATTGTTTTCCTCTATCTGTGACAATACCAAGGATACATTTTAGTTTTGGACTGACTGATCTGTTGTCTGCAGCTTCATTGCTCTTATAAAATAAATTTCTTATAAAAATTCTTATAAAATTTCATAGAAATATGAAATGGGCACTCTAACTGGTAGCTCTCCTCTGGTTTTAATAATTTATGGTTGGATTCAAATCTGCCTCAGATCTCAGCTCATCGTATCACCCTGTGAACTAGATCAAAACTCTCCGTTCACTTAAGAAGGCAAGCCTCCAACCAAGAAAGGTAACTTTCCCTTTGGTGCATACATGTGTGTTTGTGATGAAAGATCCTAATAAACCAACTGCAAACAAACAGGTGAGATAGCTGATATTGTCCTAGTTAAAATAACCAATGGATGTAAACAACAAAAAGATAATGAATGATGGTCATACATCATGCTGGAATGCAACTTACCATGCTTATTCAAAACATGGGCTGCATTTAATGTGTCTTAGAAAATCTTATGAAACTAACAAATATCTTGACATGCATACATTTGTGAATCCTGGTTTGTGCATTTATTCATTTTGTTCTAGCTCCATATTTGTGCTCTACTGGTAGATACCAATGTACTTATTGGGCACATGTTCCTTTAGACAATTGATGCATGACAATGCCTCCTTCTATACAAATATAATCTCTGACCTGTCTGCAGTCCAGTCCAGATCTGTCTTCTCCTGAAGGCAAGCAAGATGATTTCATGCAGCATGAATCTGTTTGGAAGAAGGACCAATCTCTTACCAAATTATCAGTGTGCCTCAAAGACAAGGATGTGGTGTAAACTTGCCTCCAAGTCCTGAACATGTCAAGATTTTATTCCATTAAACACATTTACTAATGTCATTCTCTTCAATGTGCACAGACATTTCCTATTTTTTTCAAAATTGACCATATTGTCGTTTAAAGTATTGTTGCCTTCATGTGTGAACGTCATGTCTGGAAAAAAAGTCAATTAAATTTAATGGGACACTTGTTCCTGATGTGGCTTTAAATGCTATTTGGTATAAAATATCACCAAAAACATACCTTAATATAGCCTTACAATCATGAAAATATTCAAAAACATAAAGTCCCAGAAAAGCCTTTAAATGCAAGTTTATGCCCCAAAACATGCTACCTGATGTTGATGCTGAAGCTGTATCTTTTTCTAGCCATAGAACTCTGAAACATGCTGCTGACTTTGCAGTGTCGTGAATGAGCGTTTAGTTTTTATACACAGAGAAATATGGATGGTATCCTCGTAATAACATTCACATTAAAAAGTCATCTGTGGCAGATGGATCTGTGGCGCAGTGTAGTGACGTCACACTACACACTTTGAGATTGTTCTAGCTCCATAGAAAACGACTTCTTTCCGTACTCCTCACGCTCGTCGTCATTTTTGCATTCTGTAATGAACAACGACACAGAAGAATTTTATAGGCGACTGCCTAAAGTGGTGAGTAGAAAAAATGAAGTCAAGGCAAAGATGAATGTTTTCTTTACAATAAAGAAAAAAGTTAAACGTTTGGGCAAGCTACATGCTAACGTCGGCGTTTTGGTTGCCACCAGGAGCTTCACGCTCACCTCAATGGTTCTGTCAGCTGGGAGACCATCGAAAAACTCATAAAGAAGAAACCACACCTGAACATTGAGCACAGCATGACTGCGATCGGCAGAGGACAGAGGAGAACACTGGATGAGTGAGTTTAACTGAGCTGTTTTGGGGTAAATTACGGTAAATAGCAGACGCACTGATTACTAAAACTAATGCTAACTGCATTAGAGTGTTAAAATTATTAATGCCAGATTTAAAAAACGTGAATGCAAACAGGTATACAAATTACCATACAAAAATGTTTACGTTTCGTGTTTAAATAGAGATGTTGGCACATAGGTAAATCAGTCCTCCTTAAAAATGGCAACACTTCAATCCAGAAATGCTGTACCGTCTGTTAAAATATGAAAGAATATTAACACAATAAAAGAATGTACAAAATAATACTTTAAAGCCTAACTCTATAACTGCTCAAATCGAAGTTTAATAATGCAATTATTGTCAAATGTTATTTTCAGTGCACAGTTAATAGAACATTTTAAGAACAATTTCTATTTAAACGATTTCTAAATCTATTGAATTGGGGGGATTGCAATGTATTGGCGATTAGATATTTTACCCTTATTCCCAAACGATGTCATACTCTTGATAAATGCAGTGATGTTATGTAGTTGTTTCAACATCATTTGTTTTTATGTATAATCTTTTTTCAAATTGCAAACAAATACCAACCAGCATTGTGATCTTTCTGGGCGAACCGGTACGGGGCCGCCCAGAAACAATGCATAACTTAGATTATTTCCGTTTTTTTATTATCTGATGCTGAAGGATGTTTTATTTTGAAAAATTACCGGATTCTCTCCGCCGCATCTGCCCATGACTCACACTTGATGCATGTCAGCGTGCTCGCCTTCGTCACAAAAAACAAACGTCTTTGGAAAGTTCGTTTGCTCAGAGTAAAAGAGTCAGTGAGGAGACAAGAAGAAGAGCCTACGTCTTCAAAGAAGAAGAAAGCCTGACATCTGACAGAACATTCCCGGAGTCCTACTTAAAATATGGATTTATTGCGACAGGTTGTTCCCACGCACCGTGCACGCGCAGCATACAATATGCGGCGAGCGGCTCTCTAATGAGGTAATTAAGTCTTCAAAACTGCTTCGCCACATGGAGACCAAGCGTTCTACTTTAAAAGACACGCGCGAGGATTATTATATAAAATACCAGTTTTTATGCCGCTCGTATCGTTTTGTTAAAGGACGCTCCCTGGAAAAAAAAGTTCAGACATTTAACCAGTCCGTGCCGCAAAAACCGTTGGGGACCGCAGCCTTAGATGATATAGACAAACAGACTGATTGACTTACGTACGTACTTAATTACTTAATTGACCCCAGGCTGGGGAATTAAATAAATATTAATATTCAGGTAATAATTACAGATTATTTTTTATTTCACATTCCTAGTGACGTACTGTGTGTCCGCAGGTGTTTTCAGGTCTTCAAGGTCATTCATCAGCTGGTGGACACAGAAGAGGACATCCTGATGGTGAGGACTTCTGCTGATGGAGGCTAATAAACCATGGTCTACTTTTTTAATAATATTACAGTGCCGTGAAAAAGTATTTGCCCCCTTACTTTTTTGCATATTTATCACACACAAAGGTTTCAGATCATCAAACCAATTTTAGTATGACACAGAGACAACCCAAGGAAATAGAAAATGCAGTTTCTAAATGATGATTTAATTTACCAAGGGAGAAAAAATTACAAACTTGTCTGGCCCTCTGTGAAAAAGTAATTAGTAGGAAAGCTGAGTTCAATTTCACAGGACACACCCACACCTGATTACCACCACATGTGTTGAATCAAGAAATCACTTAAATAGAATGTGTCAGACAAAGTGAAGTAGGCTACAAGATCAGAGCATCATGCCACGATCCAAAGAAATTCAAGAAGAAATGAGAAAAAAAGTGATGGACATCTATCAGTCTGGAAAAGGTTACAAAGCCATTTCCAAGGCTTTGGGGCTCCAGCGAACCACTGTCAGAGCCATTATCCACAAATGGAGAGAACTGGGAACAGTGGCAAACCTTCCCCGGAGTGGTCGGCCAGCTAAAATTACTCCAAGAGTGCGACGACGACTCATCCAGGAGGTCACAAAAGAACCTAGAAAAACATCGAAAGAACTGCAGGCCTCGCTGGCCTCAGTTAAGGTCAGTGTTCATGACACAGCGAGAAAGTGTGTTTGGTTCCTACGAACATCCGGCCATCAGTTCGTGTGCTCAAACTCCAGCGCTCTTGGAGCATGCAGCAGGACAACGATCCAAAACACACCAGCAGGTCCACCTCTGAATGGCTAAAAAAAAAAAAAATTAAGGTTTTGGAGGGGCCAAGACAAAGTCTGGATTTAAATCCTCTCGAAATGCTGTGGTGGGATCTT